CACACACACACACACACACACACACAAACAGGGCCCAGCTCTTTTTCCCTGATTCCCCTGTCACTCGTAATTAAAGAGCAAGTTGTAATTACTGAGCTTTAACCAGGGGACATTTTCCCCTCTGTGATTTTCCGTTTCTGTTTCCGGTAAATTATCACATTAAAACAAGCGTGAAACAAGCTCAATGTATTCCACTTAACTCGCCTTTAAAGCCCACTTCAAATACAAGTCACTTCATGTTGATGTGAGTGTCACCTGTTATTAGCTCTGCAGCATTTTCAGCAACTTTTCCAGAAGCCGGTCACTGAACACCATTTCTCTGCATAAAAGCAACCCCCAGTCTCTGATGACAAAGGCAATTTCAGTGACGATATGTTGAGTTGGTGAGGATGAGTAAATTACATTTGGTGCTTTGTCAAAGAAACAGAAAATCACTAAGACCTCAATAAGAAATAATCTCTTTTAGTCTGTTTTTTTTTTTTAACCACAAAGATTTTTTTTAATGCTTCATTAGAGCCAAATGGGCAATTAAATGTCTGTGTGTGACATGTTATATGTGCAGGATTCTGTGTGGGCCCGCACGTTAACATGGCTAACAGGCTCATTAAACAAGAGTGTTTAATGTTACCTTTTTAACGTGGGAGGGAAACTTGTAACCTCCACCTCAATTAACTCTTCACTGCGGCTGGTCAGTGGTAATTAAACACCCAGGGGATGCTCTGGATCCTGTTCGCTGTACACCCGCCCCTTCCCTTGTCATTATTATCCCTATTTTGTGTGCTCGTTTTTGTAATCAAACGAGCCGGAAAGACAACACTTGGCTGGAGTTTTAATTGGTTGACTCACGATCAAAAAGTACCTGTGAAATGTTGTTTCGCAGCGAAATCAAGTTGAATTTAGAGGCAGTAAAAAACAAACAGCAGAAAGACAGAGATTTATTAGAGTAGTAGCTACTACACGAGTGATTGATTTCACACCGGTGAGTGGAGGGAGGTCATTGATCCGCCATCATCACGGGGGGGGGTGATGGTGATAACACAGCCATTGATTTTCACAGTTTAGCAACATTTCTGTAAAGAGTGAGTATAAACTGATCGATTGGTTTTATTGTTCAGTTCGTTATTGCAGTGCCAAAGATGTGAGTCATTTTTCATTCAGTCATTTACATTTTCTTAATACATCCGCATTGATTATTATTTTTCCACTGGAGACGAACAATCTGATTGTTTTTGCTTATTGTGTTTTTAATTGCAGATTTTATTCATGAACAAGATAGACCTCTTTCAAGACAAGATCTTACACTCCGGGCGACATCTGCGGCTCTACCTGCCACAGTTTAAAGGTAGGACTGATGTATGGACTGATGCTGGGCCCTTTTCAATGTATAAGACACCATACATGAAGCTGCAGCGGTGAAATGTGAGTCAGACATTAATTGAGCTGCAACGACCAATCAACTCATCTATTCGTGAAATGACAGAAACATTTTAAAGAAGCTTTTTTATTGTACATTTTATATTCAGACTCGGAAACATTTCGATTTTCTTCTTTTCTCTGCTTTTTATCAAACTGAATATATTTGGGTTTTGGGCTAATAGAAACATTAAATGTGATCATCTTGCCTTTGAGTAACCGGGGCGCACATTTTAAAGAATGAACAATGAATCTATTAATAAAAAATTAAAAAAGATTTGCAGTAAAAAGTAAGTGTAGTACATGAACACAACACTGACCACGTTTACAATTAAATGTAAAATCCAATACAAAAGCACAGCCATAACATATACCTTTTTAAAATAGATACTAATGTTCAATTTTGATACATGATCAGTTATGTATTAATCAAACTGTTTATTAGTGATGTTTAATTTTGCCTAATGTTTCTCTAATGTTTTGTCCACGTCATTCACTAACATGAAGGAGGACGCATATTAGAAACAGTCTTATATAATGCACACCAGTGCAAAAAATCGTCACTAATAAGACCTCAGTAATAAACACGTAGTTTGACCTTAAACTGAACATTATAATTTCCCTAACTGCAGAACTTGAATCAGATGTAGTGTATTGGCTTGCATTAACTTGTATATGTGTAGCCAATATCTAATGAAGTTGCCAGTGTCTTATTTTAGATTTTAGTATCCGCTCCCCTCAGTATTTCACTCCCCAGGTCTCAGTAGACTCAACAGGGGCTGTGTCCTCTCTGCTCTCATGCAAATGTCAATATAAATGTGAAAAGTCTTGGGTTAGGCAAAGAGCAGGCGTCCATCTCCCACTGACCTCAGATATGATTAGTCTGAAACAGAAGCTCTCAACCTTTGTCGTTTGAAGTTCCCTGTCTCTCTCAGACGACTCCTGTTCGCTCATCAACACTTCATGTTCAAAATGTGTTCAGTTGTATAATGTTTGAACAGGATGTGATCAAATACAGAAAAATTGTCTCATTACAAAATGTTCAGGTTCAGTTTTCCCTTTTCTTCAGTACTTTGGAGGGAACAGAGATTAGGGAACAACTTACATTATACAAATAAAATGTTACGCCTCTAAGAGCTTCTGTAGGTTAGCATTCTTGTTACTTGAGTGTTTTGAAATGCCATTTTATAATATGTTTCTTAATGTCTTTCATTTTTGTAAAGCACTTTGAATCGCCTTGTGTTGAAAGGTGCTATATAACTTACATCACTTGGAAAGGCAGAGTATGGGTTTTTAAACCATTGATCTATTGCTCTTATATATTTGTATTTCTCTGCTTGCTTGGTAACAGTGGAGAAAATGCTTCTACTCAAAAACTGCCTGTAGTTGGTCACTTTTCAGACATCCAGGATTTGTTAGCAGTTCCAACAAAAATTTATTTATTCTATAAACTTTTCACATTGTTTTATTTAGATGTATTCAACCTATCCATTATTTTACAAAAAAAGAATAAACAAAATCATTTCACAAGCTCTCAGACTTATTCTGTGACCCTTTGGAGTGGCAAGACCCCTAGGTTGGGAATCCTATCAATAAACTACTTCATGAGAAGATAAAGTGAAGATTCATTAGCCTTATCAACATGCAGCCAAATGTTACCTTTACCTGGTTGCATCATTTTAAAGAATCTAATAATGTCATATATAATAATGAATCAGTCACACGTGATACTTTACTGCTTCTTTACTTTTTACGTAAGGATCTGAATAATTTTTCCACCACCGCTTAGTTTTAATGACCTCCCATTACTTTGTGTTTGGGTGTGACAGTTGCTGTGATGCGTACTGTCCCTGATGCAGCTGCAAGTTAATGGATTATCGTGACAAAAGATACACTGCACGGATCAGCCTCACAAGAACTCATCATCTGATTTGTGTGTTTATGTTCCTCCTAAAAACCAATGTGTAAATCCTGAAGACTATTCTATCAAGTTATCTGAGCTATTTCACAATCTGTCAACGCTCCTCGGATGAGATTCACAGGTCTTTGGAGAAAAACACTCTTTCAGTTATTTTTAAAAAAAGGAGCCAGATGTTTCATTGTAATAGTCTCCCCCCACCCCCCTCCCCCTCTGCTCCAGGTGCCGACTGTGATGTGGATTCTGCCGCCCGATTCATCGCCGCCACCTTCGTCTCTCTCAACGCTACCCCCAGCAAACTCATCTACCACCACTTCACCACGGCAACCGACACCTCCAACATCGAGGTGGTCTTCCAGGTGGTCATGGACATGATCATCAAAGAGAACCTGGAGGCCGTGTCGCTCCTCTAGCTGCCAGTCGCTCAGAGACAGTCTCCTTATGGAGGTCTTATTTTAAAAGTCTGCTCCAAGCGCCTGTTTTCTCTCTCGAGCTACATCCTGGAAGCTCTCATGCTCTTTGATTTGTTGCATTTAATCCTATAGGATGCTCCACGTAGCCTACAACAGCTCTTTTCTAAAGGAGAAACACTTGTGACTTGTGTTTAGTTACGGGCATTTCTCAATCTGTACTGTAATTAAACCTGACTATGAATCGTGAAGTTACTTTTTAGACTTGATATACACACATGCCATTTATTTGCCCATCACATCCTGTTGTGTGTGTGTGGGTGGGACACAGATGAGGCGAGGATTAACTGTTTGTCCGTTACTTCCTCTGGGCGGCGGTCACTCGTGCATACCACAGGGTGTTTTCCGCTCATCCATCTCTGTGTCTGTGCACATCCTGTGCGTCACACCCTCCTAATGAGGCGCTGATCACAGTAAAAGCACTCCGGTTCATGTTTACGTGTCCTGAGCTGAAATTGTCACTTCTTTTATTGTCATCTCTGCTTATACTTGTTCCCCTGACTCTTACCAGTAAGCCAAGATGCTGGTTTCTAATGTTAGACATGGGAAAAGTGCACATATAAAGAGACATCCCTGAACTGTCTCCCAACTGTTTAATTTCCTTTCTGTTTGCCTTTCTTACATGCGCTCATAAAACCTGACTTGTAAATCAGGATGATGCTTCATCTATGTGATTTGTGTGGCATTAACTCCGCTGGGGTCTGACTGTGGAGGCTCCCCTGAGCTACAGACTATCACAAGAGCTCCAGCAATAAACAAGATATGGTAATGACTGATACCCTCTGATATGCACACTGAAGATAAAAAAACAAGTGAAACATAGCCCTAAGTGCCTCATAATTAAGAGTTTTCATCTGTTGTGTAACTTAAATGCTTAATATGTATGAAATGTTTTATTTTTCCCACTTTCAGAATATCTTCTGGTATTTCTACTCCTTGAATCTCAAACGCCATGTGATAATCAGACTTATTTATGGTCTGTACTGAATATTGCACTGTTACTGGGATTCTAATTAAATGTGATATGCTGACGACCTTATTTTCACTTCATATTTCCATTCTTTGTCGGAGTAGACCACATAAATTGATCAAATAAATGTTATTTTTTCCCCCCAATAGTTGGATTTCTAAAGAAAATGTAAAGCAATACAACAGGTTACCAGTGTTTGTTCATTTTAATAGATAAAATAAATAAAATAACTTTCCAGGAAATCTGCTCTGCAGTTAACGTTCTGGACATTTAATACATTTTGGCAAGGGAGGGTACATGTCAGGGGTTTAAACAGTAAAGATGGGAAGTCACCTGGAAAGAAGATCAACTAACATCTCTTTTTCTACACAAAGCAAAAGGTATTTTCAAACAAGAGAACATTCAGAGTCCGCGGCGGTCCATCGTTGACAGTGATCAGGTTTTCCTCTGCGCTATCCCCACCTCACACACTCCTCCAGCCCCTCTTTGCTTTCCTTCATCTTTCGTTACAAGAGAGGCGCTCCCGGGGATCGGTGCGTGGTCCTGTTCCGCGTGGGACTCACGCGGACAGGCAGTCCAGGGAGTCCAGGGTGAGGAAGACGTCCGCCTTACACTGGAAGGTGCCCGTCCCGTCCGGCAGCAGCTCGCAGCTCTTCAGGTTTGGAGAGATGTCTTTGACGCAGATGGCCTGCGGGTAGGGGAAATAATAATGAGAAGATTTAAAGTCAACATCTGGCTAAATAAGATGTCACATTTATGTTTGTACTTCTGAAACTAATCTTAGGCTTGTATTTTAATTACTTTTTCGGTGGACTATTCCGTCTATGGTTTGCCATAAACACATCTCTTATTAGACAAATCCTTTATTTTAATTCTTTTTATATATTTGTGCCTTTATTCTTTTTTGTGTTTTCCTGAGGTCGGCTAATGATTTGATATCCGTAAAAATGTTCCTTGGTTAATTTGTAAATGTCATCTTTTAGGGCGCTTCGAAGTGCTGCGCTTTTACGCACCAACTTTTATCATTTTAGATTAGTTTTTTAGTTTGTTTCGTCGTCTTTATAAAAGTAAGGGTAAAACAAGCTGTTGTGAAATCTTCAAATAAGTGTTGCTCTGTTGAAAATATTCCTAAACTTCGAAGCAAACTTTAAATAGCCTATGTGGTGCTGATGGAAAGCAATTGTTACGCGCGTCCCTTTCTCACGGAATAAAGTGAGCAGTCAGAACTCACCATGCTTTTGAGGATGGAGATCTGCCTGTTGGTCTCTGGGGTCACGTTGTTTCCCACCGTCTCCCCGCTGTCCACCAGCGTATCCTCGGACTCGGACCTGCGGACGTAAGGCGACCTCCTGATACCGGACAGCAGACCGGAGGCGCGCCCCACCGAGTAGTAGCTGGGCCCGGTGGACTGCTTGTACCAGGCTTCGGCTGGATGGCAGGAGATGAGCAGAGACACTCCGACGCAAACCACGGCAAACCTGACTGACCTCTCCATGTCTGGAACTGTTTTACGCAAAGGGAAAACGGCGCGTTTCTCGTCTGTTGTTTGTCAGAGGCCGACTTTATGTTTTGCTGCTTATTTGGAAACGTTCTGCTGCTTATATAGGCGGACAAGGCGACGTTATCGTGACCCAAGACGTTCGTCAAATCAAATTTGAGGTGGGCGTTTTTGGTTCTGTCATTGTGCGAGAGAAGGAAAAAAAAAATAAATAATCCGGATTTATTTGTGTGTGTGTGTGTGTGTGTGTGTGTGTGTGTGTGTGTGTGTGTGTGTGTGTGTGTGTGTGTGTGTGTGTGTGTGTGTGTGTGTGGGGGGGCTGAAGTCAGCCCTTCTCCGACGTCCCGTATACGTCTTTCATAATGACGTAAGTGGTCAAAACTGAAATCTTTCCTGATTTACGTTAAGGAAGGGGAACTTTTTATGTCTGAATAAATTGACAAACTACTTGTTATCTTTAAAATATACTGAATGTGAAATGGATCAAAGCCTGACTTTAGTTTGATTTCAGCAGTGAAAGATCAGTTGATAAAAAAAATTCGATTCAATTTGCCTGATCACACACAAAGTCTCTCACAGGTGGTTTAACTGCATCAGTGCCTTCTTGACCGCTGCATGTGATAAAACACAACCACGCAGAATTAGTGGCTTCAAAAGGCCTCAAATGGACAAATGTATATACTCTTAAAAAACAATCAATGAATACAAGTGAATAATCGACTAATCCAAATTGTATTCCTGTTCCAAACACTTTTTACACGGATGGTTTGAGACTCAGTCTTACTTCAAAGTGAAGCTCGGAGGAATCAATACAAACCCTTTTCCCCATTGATTTGCCAACCTTACTGGTCATCATGATTTCCACTGCCTCTATCAGCAGATCAGTAGCACAACAGTGAAGGACGTAAACTAAGATGCATCTACTTTTGTCCAATTTAATAATAACCAAAACAGGTAAAACTATTGCTTTATATGAAACCAGGTTATGAGGGGGTCTGGATGATGGGAAAATTACTTTAAATGTATAGAGACAGATATGTAATGTAATAAGAAGGACCTCTATGATGAATTTATCTGCTTACATTAAGATCCTATATACAAATAAGGTCAAGCAATAAGGAAATTCACGTTTGTTTTTATTTTATTAACCATTAGAAGCAGCATAGAAAAATAATACTAGAGATTTATTAAGACAAATGTGTTCATGTAGGCGGACATCATGTCAATCCACATGAATTAAAGCACCACTAGAGTCCATCAGAGTCCGTTGTAAAGAGGTCTGCAGTGCGGCTCTAGCTTGTCCTCCAGGACGTAGTCTGGCCCGCAGACCCAGGGGTCGCCGGTCTGCCACTGCCACTTCTGCAGACCCTGCCTCAGGCTCTCCAGCACGCCGCTGTAAGCTGGTTCTGAGGCCAGGTTCTTAGTTTCCAGGGGGTCTGTTCTGTGTGGGGGAGGAAGATTCAAACTTTAGGAACAGGAAGAATAAGATACAAGACACCATGGTCCTCGTATTCATTATAATTAGTATCAGATTTCCTGTTTATTTCTTGGAAATCTAGAAAATAATTAAGAAACTAATGGACAGTAAGATACATATGTGTTGTTTTGGATGAAGGTTTAATGTCTGCAAGAAATACAATTATTGTGGAAAAATACAAAAGGATATCTTATCTATTTTTAAGGACCAATAGTTAACTGCAACTTTTGTAAAAACACTTTAAGCCTAAAACATAACCAGCACGTGAAACCCCATTAACATACAGAAGCCATGACCTCTGTAACAGCCCAGAGTTAACACTTAAAACATGAATTATAAAGAAGTCTTGTTCTGACTCTGACTCTGATGAATGATGGTGGTTGGAACCAGGTTAAATTCAAGACGAATGGATTTCCTAATTCAATCAAATGTTTTAAACACAGTATATTCAATCAGTCCTAATACTCTATTACGTTTTCTGTTAGTTTTCCAGGTCAAAGAAAGATCTGACTCATCCGAGCACAACAGAGAACATGTCTGTGCTCTGTTGTTGCATTAGTTCACATCAAGCAAAGGAAGGATTATTTGAATGTTTAATCAATATGATATCATTTCTTTGTCATTTTGTCTCTAAAATATCCATCAAGAGTGAACATTTCTCCAACTGACTTGTTCGAACAAGCAACTGTATAAAGACGAGAGATATTTGATGACGGGGGGAGATAAAAACAGAGAGAAGCAAATCGTCATATTTGGGATGCTGGAACCAGAAGATATCTTTAAATTGTGTCTTACACAAATTATACTCACATTTCTGAATGTGAATAAAGGTTCTGTGTGTCACCTGTGAAATTGAAAGGTACTCATTTTACTAACGTTAATCTAAATTGTATAGCCTGTACTTTAGTCCTTTTACATTTTTCTAATGTATGTATGGATCATTGTTATTTGTTATGATTACTTAGGCTATAAATGTACCTGCATTAATGTTTATAGCTGCGTACAAATGTAGCCACGTAGATTGTACTGCAAAATACAAATAGTAATAGGTAATTAAATCATCTACATATTCTTTTTTTACAATCTGATGCCACATTCGATTGCATCTCACCATGTTGCTGAGTTCTATATCATTATCTGTAGATCCCTTTACAGACTGAATGCAGCTGTGTTGGCTCCCTTCAAACTGCTAGAGGTGCGTCTAAGGGGTGAACTACCATGAAGGGGGAGGGGCAAGGATTGGCAGGTCACGATCGACGGAGCAACCTGTCTCATTATTTTTAAATAAAACATTGATAGGGAAACTATTTGTGTATAGTGCAAGAGAAGTGTAATTGTTCCCTCTTCTTTTAGCATATTTTCTACCTGTTAACCATTTCTTACATTTCCCTTATAACTAAATAGCCTTCACTTTGAATGATGTGTAGCTCATTTACACCAGAACCATATAGGTCAAGTCTTGTGATTGCTCTTTAGAGAGCTCATTTACCTAATGTGTGGTATTTATTCTGTGGATAATCATAGTGACCATGTCCCCCCCCACCTCACCTGGAGTGGAACAGCTCCCAGCGCTCTCTGTAGTAATACTGCTGCAGGCTCTTGAACCAATGGGTGGGCTCGCTCAGCCAGGTGCGGTTCAGCAGGTCCTGGAAGGTGGGGGACACGTAGAAGTCCTGGTCGATGGGGAAGGGCATGCGGTAGTGCATGTTGTGGAGAAGGTGGTACGCCCCCTGGTGGACGGAGCGCATTGGGTAGTACATGGTAACCTGAAACAAAGAACACAAGTCAGGGCCTCCACTTCTTCCATGTGTACACCGTCTGGCATCCTTACGCACCTCGTGCAGGGACTGGCTGCCGTAGACCGTGTTCCAGCTGCTGGGCTCCGTGACCAGCGCAGGAAGTAAGGAGCGGCCCGTGAGGTGCACCGGGGTGGAGCGGTCCCCGGGGAGTCTGTAGGATGGGTAGGGGACCGAGAGCCAGTCCAGAATGGTGGGGGTGATGTCTGCCACATTAAAAAGAAGAAGAGAAACAGTGAGAATTCACTTACATGTCACTGTAAAAATGAAAATGAACTAGAAATTAGCAGGTTTTAAATGTTTTCTTGAGTAAGTGAAGGATCAAGCCTTTGATTGAGAACATTGTCCCACTTAATTAAAACTAAACTATTTAAAAAGGAATAATTAATCAACAAAAGGACTGATTAAGAATGACTCCCTCCGAATAACCTTGAACTCTTAAAGAGAGCTTTGTTATTCTCTCTCTTCAAGGTGATGCGGGTGAGTATTCAATAAAAACAATTGTGCACTGTGTGGGTGAAGAACTCTTTTACGAACCGATGGTCAACAGTGTTGTTTTTGTTAACACCTGGAGATGCATGGTTTTCATAGCCTTGGGCACTATATGACACTCAAACTCAATATTCCCCTTATTATTTCACTTTCTGCCTCAACTTCTTGATGTTCATTACGCCATACTTTAATATTTAGTTAATATGTTGTGGTATTATCTTCTGCACACATTTATATTACAACCATTACTATTGTGATGTTTATTTATTTTATTTTCATTAAATCATTGCCTTCTAAGGGAATCATTTTCCGTTTCTCTTTTTATTTGGGATCTGCTGCTGATGCCTCGTTGATGAGTCTCCCTCTTGTGGCTGATTCAACACATTTACTTCTTGTTCATTTGAGAAGGCCAGTTGAGTAAACCAAGGCCTCTCTAGATCAATCTGAAAGCACGATAAACGGTCTTTGAGCATGTTTCTCTCAGTGATTGTTATGTTAAATTATTATTTTTCATGTATTGTACTTATTAAAGTATAATCGTAAATCTGAGACGATTAAAGAAAGAAAAACGCTTTTTTCTTGTATTTTTCTCCCCGAAAATCCCTTTACTTTTTTAGCTTGTAATCATTTTCTATTTGGTTTAACTTCTCACTAAGCATTCTTCAATAAGGCCACAACCTGTGATGAGGCGTCATGTCAAATAAGATATTTGTTAATTTTTTACAAGGAGGATAGCCAAAAAAAGATCCAGAAACTGGAACCAGACCTGCTATGGATACTGTGACACAACAAGTGGCTAATAGACTTCTATCTATATTTTTAAAAAACCCTCCTCCACTTCTCTCTTCCATCCACCCCTCACCCAGTAGGCTGACGTAGGCCTGGCTGGTGCCCCCCCAGCGTCCCCTGTGCTCCGGAGAGGAGACCAGCATGGGCTCTGCGGTGCCGGAGCGGTACAGGTTGGTCCTGCCGTTGGGGAAGGGGATGCCGTTATCTGAGCTATAGATGACCAGAGTGTCGTTCTCATAACCGGCGTCTCTGAGCTCCTGGAGAACTAAACCGATTCCTGCGGAGGAAAACCACAGCGTTATATCTTTTGGTATTTTACAAGAATAACGTGTGTTTTTCTGTGCTGCAGGTGTTACAGACCTTGGTCCAGCCTGCTGACCGTGATGTACTGTGCTGCCAGGTCGGAGCGCGCCACAGGTGTGTCCGGCACAAAGGGAGGGACCTAGGTGAGAGCAGATACACATGTGAGCAGCTCTGCATTCCATTCAACATCTGAAAACATTTGGAACAT